GGAAAGAGTTAGCCAGGTGGAATGCAGAGGTAATAAAAAGCTTCTGGTGATCAGAAACGATCCCCAGCTCTGGAGGACCAGGTGATTGATGGGATATGGAAGGCGGGCAGAGGACGGGCTCTGGCAACAACAGACGGAGGTGGCCAGGGTGGATGGGGACCCCAGCAACTGAGAGGAGAGCTAAGGAAGTTGGGGCACCATGTGAGTTGCTGGTGAGCCCCTCCACGCCCCTCACTCCACTCCTGCCACACCAGCCTCCTTGTCGGCCTCCAAGACCTCCAGCTTATTCCTGCCTCAGGACCTCTGTTCTTGCCACTCCCTCCAATGGGAATGCTCTTCCCGGAGAAGCTTCACGGCTGGCAACTTGGTATGTTCTGCTCCCCGTCACTCCTCAGGGGTGTCGCTCTCTCTCCCCTTACTCTTTACACTGGCCGGTGGTACAGCCTATATTTATTGTCCACCAGAATGTGAGCTTCACGGGGGCAAGTTTCGTTCGCCACTGGAGCCCAACACCTGAATCTGCTAATACAGCAGCCACTCGCCACAGGTGGCGGCCGAGTCTTAGATACGCGGCTGGTCCAAATTGAGATGCGGCTGGTCCAAATTGAGATGCGCTCCAAGCGCAGAACACACCCCAGACTTCAAAGACTTAGTACAGAACGAAGAATATAAAACATCTCCTCGATACTTTTTTTTATATTGATGGTGTGTTGAAAAAATACTTAAAGAAAATATATTACTAAAATGAATTTCACCTGTTTCCTTTCACTTTGTAATGTGGCTAATGGAAAACTTGGAATTATATGGGTGGCTCACGCCCTCTTTCTATGAAACAGTGATCTTGAACACTGCCTGGTATACACTATGTGCTCAAGAACTATTTGTTGAATGAATATATATGGAAAACAGCTGGACATTCACATCTGAGTTTGCGTGGAAGGGTCCAGGCAGCAGACACAGAACTCACTGTTGGTGGAGGGACGGTGGCACACACCGTGAGCGTGGATAAGTGCTTGGGCCTGGGGAGCACCACCAGTTCCTCATCCAGACCAAGTTTACCGAGCACCTACTATACTATGGGCCTGCGAGGAGGAGAGAGCTATGCATCCAGCAGAAGTGCTGCCTTGGGGCCTCCAGCTCTGGTTTGGGGGTTGGGCTGTCTGTACAGGAAGCCATCTATTTTCTTCCCAGGTGAGACCAAAAGGCAGGTAGGCATTAATTAGCTAGCGGAAGGGGGCGCTGCAGAGAGGGAGGCCGCTCCAGGCAAAGGAACATCATGTTGAAACACTTAGAAGCAAGATTGGGTACCGTGCTTGGTAGGAACAGAAAATTCGGTATGGTTTGGGGCATGGCAACCTTGGAGAAGCCAATGGGAGGGGGCCTGATGTAGCAGGGCCACAGGTGCAGGGCTTCAAAAGCCTCGTTCAGGTGCTGGACTTACCCTGAGGATGGGGGAGCCCCAAGGACGTAAGTAGGGGGGCTATTTAGAAAGACTCCAGCTGCTCTGTGGAGCCAGGCAGGAAAGCTGAGGAAGAGGCGTGAAGGAAAGGAGGACAGAGAGGAAGCGACCGGGGACATAGAAGACTGGGGCGCTGGCAGCCTGCTCAGCAGGGTCTGGTGAAGCCCCAGAGGTGTGGTTAGATGGTGGCCCCTGGATTTTTCCGTTTGGTGCTGGCTGCTTATGGAGAGCATCCCCACGGGGGCGGTGAAGGAGGAAGAAGATGGGGGCAGAGGAGAGATAGGAGGGGAAAAGGAGGCAGACACGTAGACAGATCCTTGTATTTCCCCGGGGGTGGGGAGGGAGGAGGGGAAGCGGGTGATGGCTGCAGGAAAATGCAGGGCCAGGAGCACAAGTTCTGGGGGAGGTTTCTTCTGAGGATGTTTATGGACTGGGGTAACAGGGTGAAGAGGGGGAAGCTAGAAAACAGTCCTGCCGTCTGACCCCACTGCCCACCCCCACTCTATCTCCATGAAAGGAGGGCCCAGCCACCTTGCCCAGGCCACAAGGTCGAGAGTGTAGATGGTGCCCAGACTGAGGCCTCCCCTCCCCCCTCCCTTCCTGTGTGGGCTCCATCAGGAGGGCGGATCATCCTGTGATGCCCCTGCAGGTAGGGAGGGAGCCACCGTGGCTGCTGCTGGCACTGGATCCTGGCCACTCGCACACGGGCTAGGCCCACACACGCACAGAGAGCCTGCAAAGGATGGACATGTGCTGTGCACACGCGCATGCACAGCAGAGCTCACCCAGGATATATGCACACGCGCGTGCACAGCTGAGCTCACCCAGGATATATGCACGCGCGTGCACAGCAGAGCTCACCCAGTATATATGCACACGCGTGCGCACAGCAGAGCTCACCAAGGATATATGCACGCACACACACACAAAGAGCCCACACAGGATATATGCACGCGTGCACGCACAAAGAGCTCACCCAGGATATATGCATGCACGCACACACACACAAAGAGCTCACCCAGGATATATGCACGCACGCACGCACAAAGAGCTCACACAGGTTTTACGTGTGCTTGGGCACCCACAGCGCACACCGTATGTATGTGTACATGTGTGTGTACATTCACAGACGGCCCACACAGAGGCCACGTCTCAGTCTGAACTAGGAGAGGCCCCCAGGGATGCTGGTATCACCGTTGTTTTTGTCCCCAGTAAAACAACCCGGGCTCCACCGGACCCTCCACTTTGCACTAGCTCTGCCCTCCTCTTGTCCACTTTCTCTCAGCCACCCCGCCCCCCCGCCACCCCCAGCCTCCTTCCTTTCTGCCTGGATGACGGCACCAAGGACCGGCCTTAGTTCATTAGATGTCCCCAGCTTGGCCGGGAGCTGCGGATGCTGCCCGGCGGGCCATGCCCCCTGTGTGTCATCTGCCGGGCAGGGGACCCTGCGAACAGTTGCTGCGGAGCTGCTTCTCGCTCCAGGGTGGTGGGGTCTGGCCTCTGACCTCACCCCCGCCCCAGGCAGCTCTAGATGGCCAGGTCCTGGCGGACGGTGGCCAGCGAAGCCTTGCTGCGGCCGCTGCCGCCCTCGCTGTCGCAGGCCGGCGCCCGGTGAGCATAGGAGGGCGGGGCGTAGGGGTCAGGGCCCGGGCGCCTGGCGGGCAGGGCGGGCGGCGGCGGCGGCGGCGGCGGCGGCGGCGGCGGGAGCAGCTGCTGCGCCTCCTCGTGCGCGCGGTTGCAGCGGTTGTCGCGCTCGGCCGCCCGGCGACAGTGGCCGGTGCGCGGGCGGCCCTTCCAGAGCAGGTGGCCCAGCTCGGCCACGCTGAGCAGCGCCGAGAGCAGCCCCACGGCGAAGTAAAAGATCACGAAGACGGTCTTCTCGGTGGGCCGGCTCACGAAGCAGTCCACCGTGTGTGGGCACGGGGCAGCGGCGCACATGAAGTGCGGGGCCACGCGGAAGCCGTAGAGCAGCGCCTGGCCCGCCAGGAAGGCCAGCTCGGCCAGCAGGCGCAGCGCCACGCTCAGCAGGTAGCAGCGGCGCGCGCGGCGGCCCCCCGGGCGCCCCGGGGGCCCCAGCGACCCCGCCCCGCCGGCCGCGCCGCCCGGCTCCTTGCTGGCCCGGTGCACAGAGTAGATGACGAAGAGCACCGGGGGCGCCGACAGCAGCAGGATGTGGAAGAGCCAGAAGCGGTAGTGGGAGACGGGGAAGGCGCGGTCGTAGCAGGTCTGGCGACAGCCCGGCTGCAGCGTGTTGCACACGAACTCCTCCTGCTCATCCTCGAACACGGCGCCGCCCACCGTGGCCAGCACCAGGATGCGGAAGATCAGCATGACCACCAGCCACAGGCGGCCCACGAGCGGCGACTGCAGTTGCACGGCGTCCAGGAGCGAGCCGAGGAACGCCCACTCCCCCATGGCGCTGGGGATGGACGCGGGGCGGGCAGTCAGAGGCTGAAGGATCGGGATCCCCAGCCCTCCGTGCCCTTCGGGGTGGAGTCAGTTGGTCCTCCTCTAACTTCGAGGTGAGCCAGGGGGTAAGCCAGGCCTGGGTTTAACAGGGACTTTGTGGGAACAAAGGGCTTAGCAAGGGGGGCAGGGGCGGGAGGGTGATTCTCCACTATGGGCCCTGGGGAGGAGTTCCACTTTGGTGCTCTAGTCAGACACCCACGGGCCTGCTGGGTTGGACCCTTTGCTCCTCCAGAGTCCAGGTTGGTGGGAAAGGGCCTTGGAGATCAGCCCGCCCCCCCACCCCCCACGGCCTCTGACTGCATCTGTAGAAGCGGAAACCCAGCAGCGCCCTCATGTGCTCAAGGATGCTTTCTGTGGGCAAGAGTGGTGCCCCAAACCCAGCTCTCCGCCGGACCCAATTTGGTACCCCTGGGAGAATTGGAGACAGCAGATCCAGAAGGACCCACCTCCTTCTTTCTCCGCCCATTTTCCTGCCCTTTTTACTGCAGTGAACTGCTCTCAGAATTGGGGAGTGGACACAAAGGTAACCCCACTTCCATAACTCTACCCAATGTCCTAGGTGTCCCCTGCCATCTGAGCCCAGTGTGGCAGGAATGCC